ATGCCGATACTGATAAAGACCCAATACGATAATCATGATATTATGACTTATTTTGTGCTGTAGAGTTTTAGCAAATGTTTGATCAAGTGATATTAACAAAACAAAGAACAAAAGTCAACAACAATAGGTATGAGAACAACCAACCATGTAATATTAACCAACAGGATATATGAACTTTAAACAGAAGCTCAGTGTTTCTATCAGCAAGCTAATATTAGAGATTGTAGATGCAAGCAAATATAATCTGATATTCGTTTTATTTGGCTAATATCGGACCGATATCCAAAATTAATATCCGATCAGGACATCCCTACTAAATTGAGTTTTTTTTTAGTCCAAGATGCACAGAATATCAATCGATCTTCTTGATCTACTCATCATGACGCAAAACTGAAAGAGCTAAAAGGTGAAATAAGCTGGGAGATAATCTGCTCATCTAGCTAGCCTGCAGTCGGCTGATCGACAGACACGCTGGCTGTAGTTTAAATTTTCCCTGTGGTGTTTGAATAAAGCTTCATCTCGGTAAGCATGATAAAGAAGGGGCTGCGGTGCTTTCCTCCAACATTTTATTGAAAATAAAAGATATTTTGCCAACGGTTTAGTTTCTTTGTCATATAAGTGTGGGAAAAGTAGCCGGGACCGCTATATTAGTCGGTGGTTTCATCTGCAAAAAAAATCCAAATTCTCTGTCACTTTTTTTTTTTGCATAAAAAATAAAATACTTTGAACCACAGCTAGCGTAGGTCTCACGATTTAACCAATTTTGAACAAATGCGCTTTCGTCAAAACAGTCAATCTCTCTATAGATGTTAAATGTTTGTCTAACTTTTCACTGAAATGGTTAAACTATGAAGCAAAGAACAAAGATCCAGTTTCCATCTATGGACTTCAGTCATGGGACTTTCCCTATCAGCTTTGTAAAGATGGAAGGTGACAAGCTCTGCTCCAGGACTCCTTCCTTAAACTCTTGATGCAGAGCAGCTCCCCAACAGCAGGGAAGTAAAGTAAACTCTGCTGGAAGCTGGGAATCCCAACTATGCACATTCCTCCTGATAGAAAGTCTACCTAACAGCTGCTGATCTTTATTCACTGATGTCTCTGGGAGGTGAAGCACTGAGTCGAGGAGCAGAGCCGCTAAGAACCGATGAGCTGAGCAGAGGAGACGATGCCAAGCATGCCACAATGTGTGAAATATGTGCTTTCAAATACTTTAGAAACGAGAGGAGACCCCAACAATTAGCTGCTATGGAGTCAGTGAAACTATTTGTGTCGGCGGATTTAAAGACAGGAGAATGAGGATGACATTTGATGAGAGAAATGGCCTCAAGTGGGGGCTGTGTTATAATAATGGACATGAGAAAGGTCAGAGTTCAATTCCAGATCTGCTTCACAGCAAACATTTCCGGCTGCTCATATGCAGCAAAGCGAAACATCACTCATGGCTGCATGTGATGTGATAAAATCTCCTTCTCTCTGAGAGTCCCTCTTGGTTGACTCCAAAAAGCCATGATATGAAAATAAAAAATACAACATAAACATTTATATGGTCATATTTTTAGCCCCGCCTCCTCCTTTTTTTCTTGGAGTGAGGATTTGGAGAAAAAAAGCGAAGAAGAGGGAAATTTCAGCCCACAGCGCGGCGTAAACAACATGCAGAATACGGCTGGCAGGAAGAGGTTTGAGCAAGAGCACCTCCACCGAATTAGGAGGGGGTTGTCAGTTCTGGCTGCTACAGCAAAGATTTAGCAGCAACAAAGTTAAAATGCTTACAGAAATGTATCCCAACATCTGAATTAGCTGTTATTCCACTGCTGGAAGCTCTGGTTCTGAAAGCCGGTGAGAAATCCTATTTATATGCAGATGATAGAGACACTTTTTCTCCTCTCATATCTGCTGTCTTCCATTCTCCATTTTTTTTCTCCAAGCCCTGTTTTTCTTTCCTCATCCTTTTTTTCTCCCTCTGACTTACTGTCTGTGTCGCCGCAACTGCAGCAAAATCAAAGTTATTTGATGGGCCGTGGCGGCTGCAGAAAAAAAGCTTCCAAAACAACCAACATTCTATAATCCAGTTTGAAAGCGCTTAATGTTCAGAGCCGGTTGTAAGCATTTGCACATCTGCTTCAAGGATGAAGAGTCTATAAAACAAACAAAGTGATGTTAAAAATACACGTCCAAAGTCGGTGATTTATTCACACAAATGTGTATAACGCAGCAGGCCGAGCAAAGAGTCTTAGAAAACAGCAAACACATCCTTGAGGCTGTGCCTCAAAGCGAGTTTAAAAGCAACATTTAGGAGTAAGCATTACGCTTTGGGCTGATAATGAGCCTTTAAATGCCCAATTTATTTTTGTCAAAATCACATCTGGCACATCTGGAGGGATGAAGTTCAAACTAAATCTAACATTTTATTTCGAAAATAATGCGTAGATGATTGGGATCACCTAGTGACAATGTATTACGATTGGTGCTGAAATAATTATTTGGATTAATCTATTATTGAAATAATCAACTAAATCAATCAATTTAGTAATTTATTAATCATTAACCGGAGTATAGAGACTCTAAAACATTCCTTTAGCTGACAGAACAACCCACTTAGAGCAGCAATTATACAAAAATTGTAAAAAAAAAAAAATGTTTTTGTTTGTCAATATGCTCTATGCAGGACTCCAAGTGGAAAAGTTTTAGTTTCACCTTGTTACATTTCATTAAACAGAATCTTCTTTAAGGTGCCTTGGCTATCCGATTATTAATAGATTAATTGAAAAAATAATCGTCAGTTGAATTGATTAGCAAAATAATCATTAGTTAAAGCCCTACTTACAATCAACATGCTTCTAAAATGAAAGTAAACAACAAAAATACCTTAATCAGGAGGCTGGAACAAAAAAAAAGGAATAAACCCACAGAAAGGCTGATGTTTAAAGTTTTAGGTGCTAACTATGCTAATTGCTACTGTAGGATTTAAAAGAGACACCTAAAGGCTCACTCTATAGTGGATTTTTAAAAGGTAGTCTCTTATTTTACAGCTGCTGCTCTCCCTGACACACATCCTGATGTTGCCTCTGCTACAAATATAAACATTTAATGCATACGGCAGCTCATTAAAAATGCAAAGATGAGGCTTTTACTGGTCCAATAGCAGCTTACAGTTTTAGGTCCAAGCAATCTACAGATTCCCCTTTTTCTCTCGTAAATGCGGTACCAAAATAGAGAGGAAAGTGCAATTGATAAAAGCAGAAGTTAAACCCCAAAGGAAAATGCAGGAAATGAAAGGCTGTGACGTACGGATCAATTCCTAATATCAATCAGATCCTTAAAACGCTGCATTCTGCTACTTCCAGTTTTGGTGAACTGAAAATCCTAGGATTATTTCAAATGGGATGCATTCAATGAGCAAGAAACCAACAAAAACAAAAAAACAGTGATAATTGTCTTATGATAGCTCAAAGCAAAAATAAGGCCGACTCTTATCACTGTCTAATTGATCTCTGCATCTGCAGCAGATTATTCAAGTCTATAGATAACGTGAGATTACCAAGCATGTCTGCGCATTCAGTTTTGATGATGATGTGAAATCTATAACCGTCTGTGGATAGACAGCACTTCTCGTTAACAGCACTTAACCTTAGACCTTGTGTGCAGTTCATGCTGTAGGGCTATCAATGAGGCATCATAAATATAGGTTAAATAAAAACACAGAACAAGAAGTGAATCCATCTTCTCTCAGCTCACGAAAGAAAAGCGCAGGGCGTGATTTGGTGACGCAGAGGTTAGCGCACAAGACCCACGTATGGAGGCCTTAGACCCGGGTTCAAATCCGGCCTGTGGTCCTTTCTCCCATCTCTCTCCCCCTCTCTCATCCCCCTTTCCTGTCAGCCTACTGTCCATAAAACCGATACTAGTGCCGTAAAAACTCAAAAAGGAAAAAAAAAAAGTGCAAAAGATCCCTACTAAATGAATTCTCCTTAAAGCAAACTGAAACAGTCTGTTGTTTAAGAGCTTAGGGAGGAGAAGGTGTCTCGCCTCCAGAGTGACCTTGCTGCATTGCCCTTATGGACACACACACCCATACTTGTTCTGCTATATGTAGTGAGGACCATGTGCTGATTTTCAGTCATTTTCAACCCTTTCTATGCCCTAACCCTTAACCTAACCATTACCAATGCATACCTAACCCTAACCCAATTGACACCTTAGCCCTAAACCTAAGCATTAGCAACAACTGGTCCTCAATTTGATGGCGAAACTGGAAAAATGCTCCTCACTCTGAGGGCTATACAGGTACACCCCCATACTCCTTCTGCTATATGTAGTGAGGACCATGTGTTGACTCCCATTGACTTTCATTGATTTTCCGTCATTTTCAGTCCTTTCTATGCCCTAAGCCTAACCCTAACCATTACCGATGCATCCCTCACCCAATTGACACCTTGGCCCTAAATCTAACCATTAGCAAAATAATCCCCACTTTGCAACAACTGGTCAATTTGATGGTGAAATTGGGAAAAATGGTCCTCATTCTGAAGGCTAGGCAGGTACACACACACACACACACAAGCACACACACAAACCAAACAGATCCACTGCTGATCATAATCAGCATGAGGTAAAAGGCAGACAATCTGTTGAAAATACAGCATCTCAGAGCCTTTCAGCTCTCCTTTGTTTTTCCACCACTCTGTTACAGCTGTGTATTTACTGCCTCTTCATAGGAAACATCCACCTGTCTTTTGTGTCTGGAGGAATCAGATGTGTGGTAAACTACAGGCTAAATACAAGATAACCTGTCTATGAGGTTATGGGGGCTTATTTAAGGAAAAAAGGAAAGTGTGGGGATAATTTCCTTGTAATGTGAGCAGAGAGATGAAGTCTACATCTCTATAGATTCCCTTCATGTGTTTGTGTACTGCAGTGTAAACACAGACTGGCTCATTTAACATTCAACACCCCCCCAGAAAAAGACAAGTCATCGCTGACCCCCCAGTTTAGTAACATACCTCGGTACGCAGCTGGGTGAGGATCGGTCCACCTCCCAGGTGGCGTACAGGTTCATATGGACGGGCCGGTTGGAGGTGATGCTGACCGGCTTGGAGGGCTGCATGTGCGGCGAAGGGACGCCCCCAGTCCGCGGGAGCCCTCCGCGCTCCGACATCCTGGAGGCTGGAAACTAAACGGGGTATGGGGGGTTCGGATCTTAACGGTGGTCGATAGTTTTATTCTGGGTCCTTCTCCTCTCTTCTTCGCAGGGTTTCGCCGTTTTTCGGGCTCCAGCCGCAGGGTTAAAGGCGTTCAAAGCTCGCGAGCGCTAACGGAAAGTTGCTCCGTTTCTGGTGCTAATCAACGACAGGAACAGAAACATGCCCGAGTTCTGGACCCGACCCAGTCAGGAGAAACGGACCGTCAGTGGTCTCCGTCCGGACGTCGTCTCGGAGGTCGACTCCGTTCCTGCTGGTGTTTATCGGTGCAGGAAGCGGAAATTTGTGTGAGTGAAGTCGCAGAGTGAGCAGAAATCGAGATGAACAACGCCTCTTCAGTCAGAGGAAGGAACGCGGCTCTCTGAGCACAAGACCCACTACAGAGGAACTGACCAATAGGAAGCCTCCCTGCTGTTATTGTCTGACTGAACTACCGCCTACCTCTATATAGCTACATATATATCTATTTTATAGATATATGTAGTAATAGATGTATAGATTATATATATATATATATATATATATATATATATATATATATATATATATATATATATATATATATATATATATATATATATATATACATAAAGTTTTATCAGTTTTGTATATACATATGTGTGTATATATATATATATATATATATATATATATATATATATATATATATATATATATATATATATATATATATATATATATATATATATATATATATGATTCAAAATCTATAGCATTTTTCTCCTTCAGAAAGTTGTATTGCCTTTTACTGCAACATATTAGTCATATCATTGCCTTAGATACTATGTATTGTTTCCTCTTACATGTATACAGTCATTTGTTTTGCATAATGCAAGTTAAAAATATATACATATATATCTACATATATAGATATATGTAGTAATAGATATATATGTGTGTGTGTATATATATATATATAAATATGCATATATATATATAAATATAAAATATATATATATACAGACAGACAGACAGACAGACAGATAGACAGATAGATAGATAGATAGATAGATAGATAGATAGATAGATAGATAGATAGATAGATAGATAGATAGATAGATAGATAGATAGATAGATAGATAGATAGATAGATAGATAGATAGATAATTCAAAATCTATAGGATTTTCTGCATCAGAAAATTTTATTGCCTTTTGGCAACATATTACTCATATCATTGCGTACTAAGATACTATGTATTGTTTCCTCTTACATGTATACAGTCATTTGTTTATGCATAATATATTATTCATGTAAAAAAATAAATAAATAAACATTGTGGCATTTTTGTTTTACAAACACCATGGGGGGAAACTATTCGTCTTTTGGGCTCTAATTGCACACTGACTCAAGTGTTGCTGGGAAGATTTCCATTAGTCATGCAGATGTAGTCAAGCTCTCAGAAAGGTGCAAAACCGGTTAGTTAAAGGTTTATTTTTGTGCGCAGGGTTATTTGAAGGCCTGGTTTTTGTTTTCTTTTTTGCTATCAGATGTGACATTAGGTCAGCCATAGGCCTGCTTGTCAATAGATTTTAAAAAAAAGTTCTTTATTGGATAAGTAATGCCAAATAATAAAACAACAATAGAAAAACACTCTGTTTCTTTTCCAGATTTGGGAATAAAAAGCAGGTGCAGCGTTTTGAACCCTCAGGTGACAAAGGCACGGCTCTGATTGCCTCCTCAGAGTCTGATCATGAATCATAAAGTGACCTAATGACAACGTCGCATACGTCACGCGTGGCCGTCTGCCATCGGCTCAGCAGATTATCACAGCTGTGATCAGAAAGCTTACATCAGCCTCATGTGTTTCTGGCAGCCTGGGGATGCAGTCATAACTGGGGCCTAATGAGGGTCTAAATTTTAACCAGAGATGTTAAATAGAGGTTATACTGGATAATCCAATACTATATAAGGGGGAAACATTTTTTTTTACTTCAAAGGTACATAAAACCTTCATTAAAGAAGGAAATTCAAACTGATTTCTAATAATATTCTATGCAATTTATCAGATATGTCACTATGGCAACCCCAATTATTTTAATTGATGAAAAATGACTGTATTGTTTTGAATTAGTAAAGTAACACTCATATGTCCCCCGTTTCCTCACTCATGTTATAAATGTCTTATTACACATGAAATGCCAAATTTAATTAAGATAAATCTGCTTCTTTGAGTGTTAATCAATAAAATACCATTACTGATTTGAATTCAGTATAGTAGCCAGTGATCTGAATGCGTTTAACACTTTTGCCAGCCCTCCTGGTGCTCTTTTTAACACGCTTTTCTCACTACCAGAAGTGACTGCCATTGATAAGCAGATTAGACTCAAGCAGATTAAAGCATGGTTACGGGATTATCCCGGGCCAAGTTATACACAGCGCTCCAAATCTGCACAGTCATCAAGTGAAAGTACACAGAGAGTCAATTAAATGTCTGCTGTAAGAAAGTCATCTCTGATGTTAGGGATGACCGATGGAACAGCTGGATTTCTTGTCAGGATTATAGGTTTGAGGGTTAATCTCAAACTGTAAGAATGCATCTTCAAACCCTGGACCATCTTAAATCCTCAAGTGACATTTTCCAGGCCTAAAAAAATGATGACACCCTGTTTCAGTTACAATTCATTAGATGCTCTGGTTTAGCATGCTGGCAGTCTGGCGGGAAAACAATCTTGTAACCCATTTCAGGAGGGTTAAAGAAGCACTCTGTCTGAATAAGGCTGTTGCTCTGTGTGTGCACACTTGTGTACCAGTGACTGAGTCAACATGTAGCTGCTCCACTTATGTAGGTCACTATGCTTCTCAGGCTGATGCATGTGACCGATACCGTCGTCCTTTGCTGCCATCCGGCTGAAGGAGCAAAGACTGCACTTTCTTCTCTTTCTGAATGTCACAGTTCTCTCATATCATCAAACAGATGTTTAAGATAAAGGTAAACCATGATTTTATTTAAGGAAATTAAGCAATTTGAACCAACATGTCTATATGTGGGGGAAAAAAAGGGTTTCAACTGTTTCTAAATCAGATTAATAGCATTTTTTGGGAGTATAGTTCCATTTCGTGAGGTTTAATAACTGTCAGATCAGCTGGACCTGTTCAACAACACGAAGTAGGAAAAAAGATCCTAAAAGAACAAAGCAGGCCTAATTTAAGGGCTACAAATTTAAGCTAGTAAACAGTCCTATTTTTGGACAGAGGGGGGAAGATAATCCACACTTGCACTGGGGTAAAAGTGCAAATTTCACACAGGAAGACTCCAAATTGGGAAATTTTTTCCTGCTCCAAGAAATCGACTCAAACCAAGGCGACACTGAAACCCTCAAAGAATTATCGTGGATTAAAAATTAAAAAAATTAATTGAAGTTAGCCACTCTTTAATTAGCTTTTTAGAAAGAAAACTAAGCCACAAATTTTTTTTTTTAAAGTACTAGGATAGCTAGTAAACACTCCAGCAACACTCCCCCTCTCTAAAAAACTCCCCACATATTTCAGGAAGAAAACCCAGTGAGGTAGCCTTGGAAAACCCCCTGACCTTTAACCTCCAGTGACTCCTCCTACCAGTAGCTCCAAATAGCTCCAGCTAAAAATAACCCAGTATGGCTTAACATAGACATAAATTCACACTTATGATACAGACTAACAGTACAATTATATTTTTCTAAACATACAGTTTCTGGCATTTATCAAAAATATATAAAATTGATCAGAAATGTTGTATAACTTGTATTTCTAAAGAGAATGTATTGAGTTAGACTGAAACTAAAACTATTGCAAGAGATCACCCAGGAATGAAAGGAATGAGATGATGATTTGACGTTTCTGTCATTGCATCATTTATTTACAAATACAAAACAACAGAGAAGAATATCATTGTGGAAAAATAGCCCAGACCTAAAAAGTACGAGTCAAACAGGAAATGCACATGACAGCAAGTACATGACATGTGGCCAGACTACATTGTTGATGCATTTTTTTTTTCTTAAAAAAAAAAGGGAACAAAAACACCTCAGTGATCCAACAGTTAACTGGAGCTGTGATGAACATCCTCCGAAGCTGAAATCGGAGTCTGTCCCTCTCCGTTTCACATCCTGTTGTGGCCAGCTCAACCTAGTGCTGGCGTTTCTCTAGAACTTGAACTCTTTGTATTTCTTGGCACCGCCCCGTGTATCCTGTGGCTGGGCCTTCCTCTTCTTTTGCTGGTTAGAAACAACAGTAGAAAGCGGGAGCAGAGGTTTATTAATCAAAAACCACCACCGGGTTAAAAACATGAGGGTTAGAATGTAGTTTAGGAACCTTCTGTTTGGCCGCGTGCTCGGCCACCATGTCGCTGAAGTCCTCCTTCTCCACCTGAGCCTGCTGCTCTCTGACGTGCTCCTCGTATTTCTGGGTCATGGCCATCGGGTCGAGCTCCAACTCCTCAGGCGCCAGGGCAACCTCCACACCCTGGGACTCCTGCCCTCCACCCGTCTTGCGTCCAACCTGGAAACCGCAGAACAAATAAATGTATAAAAAAAAAACCCAAACAGAATAATAACAGTTGTATTTCCAGACCAACATTTCAAATTTGTTTAGAAATCCCTCTCACCCCCGACATTTCGTAGATGTGTGTCGATGCCATCATGGCTGCTCCTACAGGCCCTGTCCGTCTCTCTGGTAGAACCGTGAAAAGCTGTGGCGTCTCATTTCTACAAAAAAAGAATCAAATGAAGTGTCATAATCTCACGCTCTAATGCATCCGATATGGTCTTAACTCGGGGTATCACAGTGGGAAAGCAGACCACTTATCAGACTTTAATAACAATATATTAGCCTTCTATCCTAACAACATGCATTCTTTTGTGTCGGTCCAACACATACGTCGGAAAATCACTTTTGAAGCTTGAAAACTAACACTGAACATAACCCCACATGGAGCAGGCAGCATCATGCTGTGGGCCTTGCATAATATTCCTTTAATTTGCATTAAGGTGCGTTTATTTTGTTAATCTATTAAATAAAAACTTGATCACATAAATCAAAGATGGCAGCTCACTTTATTTGGAAAAGGTTCAAGCTGTGTAAATATTATTATAATAATTTAAGAGTGTGAGGAAAGAAATCTTTTTCTGAGGGTTGAATACAAAGCAGATGTTTTTAATTACATTAAAGTAAGGGGGAAAAAAAGTGATTTAATGGGAAAGAATAAGGTAACTTTTAATCCAAATGATATATAAATATACACTATATTTAACAACCATCTCTTTAAGATGTGATCTCACTGTGGGATATAAACGTGCACTATTTGATATAGATTAGATTCAACTTTATTGTCATTACACAGGTACAAGGCAACAAAATGCA